TCCTAGTGATAGGGGGCATAAAACCCATGTTTTGTTTTGTTCAAGAGCTGTCAATTTTGGTTGCATAGCCTCTTTCCGTTTTGGGTTTGAATCACCCTGTGCAAAGGATTTTGGTTCGTTATGGGCAAAAAGACTAGCGATAAAGCAACGGTAAGAAGTAGACAAATGATCATAGGAAATAAAATTAGATAAAGGATGATGCATACCTCGACGAAAAGATGACGACTCAGAGGGAAGCAAAACAGCGTTGGAGCACTGGTAATCTTGGAAATATTGTTTGTGTGTCTCGTGGCTGGGTAGAAAATGGAAATATTGTTTCATGTAATGTGACATCACGACTGGAAAAGAATGTTTTGGTAGAGAGGTCATATAGGCGATATGCTTTTTGACCAAGAAGGTAGCCCACAAAAATACATTTGCGTGCCCTTGGATTAAATTTGTGTGAAGGTTTAGTGTTGGTGGCATAACACAAGCAACCAAAGACTTTCATGTGGTTGTAATAGGGTGTGGGTGTTATAGAGCTTTTCATATGGTGTGCTTTTGGAGATGACAAGTGAGGGTAATCTATTTATTATATAAGCGACAATAAGAATGCTTTCCCTCCAAAAGGTAAGTGGTAAGTGAACTTGGAATCGTAGAGCATGAGCAACGTTTAAGAGATGACAATATTTGCGCTTAACTACTCCATTTTGTTGTGGTGTTGCTGGGTAAGAATGTTGAAAAAGAATTCCCAAATCATTAAAAAAAGGATGCATTGAAGGAAACTCATTTCCATTGTCTGCCCTGACTTGTTTAATGTTGCATTGGAATTGTGTTTTAACAAAGGCTATAAAGGATTTTAGTAAGTTTTGTGTTTCAGATTTAAAAGCCATAAGATGCATCCAAGTGTAGTGGGAGAAATCATCCACAATAGTTAAAAAAATAACAGGCACTGAAATGTGAATGAGTGCGATGGGGACCCCAAATGTCACGATGTATGAGATCAAAAGGCGCATGTGTTGAAATTAAACTTAAATTGAAAGGTAAACGAGTTTGTTTTGCCATTGGGCAAATTTCACAATGCTTATTAGGATGAAAGGAAACATTTAGTGGCTTGATTGCCTTACCATGGAACTTGTGCCCTGGTGGAAAGTTGATAATGTAGAAGCAACGATCAACTGTGTGTGTATCACCATCACAGTATGTGCAAAGAAAAGATTTCCTTTTTGGTCTTGTGATTTTGCTAGCTGCTTACTTCCTGTGTTATTTGTGTGTTTTGTCACGTTCATAGCATGAATAGTTACGTCACAAGCATCATCAAGTTGCTGCTATTTTTCTTTTTAGAGTAGAAGGGAGTAGATTTTTCTGATATTTGGAAGTGGCTGCATCAAAAGGATTTGTCCATGAACAGCAGAATATGTGTCATTCAATCCTATGAGGAACTGGACCTTTCAAAAATCTTCTTCAACCCTTCATAAGTACATGAAGGTAGAGGGTTGTACGATCCCAGTTCGTCCCAAAAGGACTTAAGTGTTGTGTAGTAGGCTGCTATGGACTGTTGTTGTTGACAATGTTTAACGATCCCTCATTTGAGTTTGAAAATATGGGAAAGATTACCTTATGAGAACCAATCTTGAAGGTCTGACCAGACCTTAGAGGCTGTATTGGAAAAGATCACAATATTGTTCATGGTCAGGCTAACTGAGTTGAGGATCCATGATTTCACAATCTGATTGCATATTCTCCAAGCTCCAAATTTGGGATCATCCTCTGACGGCGCTTTGATTGAGTCATCGACAAAGCTGAGTTTGTTCTTGGCCTCAAGAGAAATCATCATGGCATGACTCCACATCACGTAGTTGTCACCATCCAAGAGTTGAGTGACAAGAGAATGCCCAGTGTGGTTTGAGTGGTGAATATAATAGGATCATTGAAATCCATATCCTCTATAGGCAAGGTGATGGTGGTTGACTTCTTTGGTGGAGTTTCAGACATGATGGTCGATGATATTAACGAAAGCAAAAGTGAGCAATATTAGGCACCAGGATGGCGCTCTTGTACCATAAAGAAATTGATAATGAAGAAAAAGATTTCTTGTATATTTCTATGTATATATACAACTTGTTTACAACACTTATATAGGAATACATTTAGCTTAAAAAAAAAAAGGAAACTAGTAGACAAATAGCAAACTTTAAGACCTAATTACCACAGTTTGATTTGTTCTCTGATCCACAAATCAAGCTTTGATTCACGTTGACTTTGATTTCTAACAAGGCCTTCACCCAACCATCATGTCAACGTCAGTTATCAGCTTTAATACCTTATTTTCTTTCTTTTTTTGACCATCAAACCAGAATTATTATGATCTCACCACGAACACCAAATGCTAGGGTTTGGGGACATGTTTCATTTATTACTTTGCTATTTTTGTTTGTTTTATTGATTCACTCTTTCCTCGTATTATATTGATTTTTAGCTAAGTTAACGATTTTTAGCTAGGTTAACAAAAGACATAATCGTACAAGCTTTGGTTAAGTAATATACATACAAAAAGCCTTGAAACAAAGGGATTCTCATTTTTTTATAGGAAAACTAACGAAAAGTAAAAAAAAAAACTTTAGTTTTAATAAAAAATGACAAATAAAGGTGTGGTGAATAGTACCAAAGAAAGTTAAAACTGTGATTTTTCGTTAAAAGTAAACCATACCCGGAGTGTTTCATTAAAACTCCCTTTTTTTTTTTTTTTAATGGCAATGACAATTTTTTTTTTTAAAAAAAAAAAAATAGGAATTAGTTATGGAGCTCATACCACATCGAACTTCAACGATCCAAATCGTCTTTTTTTTTTTAGTTAAGTTAACAATCGACATAATCATACAAGCTTTGGTTAATTAACAGACACACATACATACATACATACATACATACATACATACATACATACATCAAATATTAGTTTTTGCTTTGTGTTTCGGTGTTTGTGTCTCAGCACTCTGGCCTTTTTTTGAAGTAGCAGAAATGACAACATCCATAATCCGAAAGCAGGATTCTCAAATTCTCAAAAGTACAATAAATACATATAATTTCTTATCCAATCTGGAATTCAATTCTCTCTAAAAGCCCTTGCATCTTTGAATTGATCACGTAAGACTCCACCTTTGTGAGTATGAATTTTACATCGGAGAAGTTAAACTACTTTTTGTATTACCAATTGATTTATGATCAAACCTCAACCTCTTTCATTGCTGCATGAACATAAAACATGAATATTTGCTTGATTGACTCCTTAAATATAAAGAATCGTTATTCTCAATCTTTCGGATCGCATAATATAGTGCATATAAAGAGTAACAAAAACGCGATTTTTATTTCGGCCGAAAGTTTTCTGGGCCTAACTTTGAACGTCCAAAGCTCCAAAAGACGGTCCGTAAAATTAATGAGCATAAATTGATAGGAATAGCGGATATATAAGATGATGATTTACAACTGTATGAATCTACTAAATTGAAGTTTGACCAGATTCCAAATATACGTATATGGACCACAGTGCAGCTTTAATCTGACGTTAGGGTTCCACCAAAACAAGCAAAGTATCTTCAAACGAACTCGTCATCTAGGGAAGCTTGGCTCTTATTTCGCAAACAAATTAAAACAAAACTTCCAACTAAACTTCATCTTTTTCTTTGTATCTATTGGTTTTGCTGGTAATCTTGAAACATCAAACCCTAAAAATAGTCGAACAAGTAAAAGGACCCAGGCTTTGAAAACAGAATTTGGTCCAACTGGAAAACTAAGCTCAACCGTGACTTAAGGGTTCGGTCACGGGATTCAATCCGTGGCTTTGCTTACGCAGAAGCCATGGATATCATACATCATTACATATACTCAGTACGTAGCCACAAATACCTTACATCAGGCCCCTTTATTTGTTAATTATCTGAGTTAGTTTCCATCGTTACATTTACTTAAACACTAATGGGGTTAATTACTAGAGATTCTTGGAAGGAATCATATAATTAAATATTTTATCAACCAACAGGTGAATGGAGTAAGATTCTCTCCCCTCCTATTCCCATCTCCTTCCCTTCCCTCCTTTCGCAGATTATTTTTTGTCTTATTGTCTTTATAAAAAAATCAATATTAGATATTGACATGGCTAAACTGTAACCGTTCAAATAGAAGATGAGGGAAAAAGAGAGAGATTAGGAGGGGAAAGATCCTCCTTCCGGATGAATATACATGGTAGAAGTTGTGGTAGGTGCAGACAAAAGATGTGTCCTTCTTTTTTACATTTATTTTTGCTGCTAGAGTGCCCACATGTTCCCTTCGAAGCAGATTATTGAAACTTGGAAACAAAGAGAGAAGCAGAAGAAATTAATGAAAAAAATAGTAACTAATATATCCGCTGCAGAGAGACCAAGCTTTGGATCTATCGATCATCGACTGAACCCCTCCACATTTTGGTTTTGAGTTGATTTCCATGAAAACAAAAACTAGTGTTTCACTATCTGATTATATCTACAATTCCCAAGAGAAAACAAAAACAGTAAGAAACATATAGCTCTGTGTGTGTGTGTGATAATTAATTGTCGAAAGAAAAAATTCAAATAATTAAATATAACTTTGAGGTCTTAGTTTGTTTCCTTCCCAAGGTGACCCCATCATCATCATCATCTGGGTTTTACCTTCTACTACAGCAGACAAGTTCCCTCATATGATTACATGGATCAATGTGTATAAAATACTCTTTCATTTAAAAATAAATTTTCATGGAAATTAAAAGAAAAAAGAAATTCATCGTTCATGTAAGTATTATATAATATTTATTTATTTATTTATTCATTCTGCAGCAGTACAGATGATGACCGCAAAAGTAAATGCAATGTAGCAAGAAACAGCAAAGAGTACTACTTGGTAGAGAGAGAGAGAGAGAGAGAGAGAGAGAGAGAGAGAGAATTGAAGGGGAAAAGGAAGGAAATAGAAAGCATTCATCGGATATAGGTATATGTAGGTATGAATAAAGAGAAAAAGTTTTGCATTGCATTGCAGTCAATGAAGAACATCCATACAATCATACAATTAATGCTTCTCAACATATACTAATACCAATACAGAAAGTCTGATTCGTGGACCAAAACGGAAAGGTTTGGGGGATTGAATAATTGATGAGAAGAGAAGAAAAAGCAGCAGCATAGACACACTGCAGAAATGTACAAACATGTGGAGAAAAGATGGGCATGATCGATAGTCATTAAATCAAACAGGAAAATGCAAAAATCCATCACACACGCTCGATTGATCCTCCCTTCCACCAACTCATCACACACATACTAATTGCGGAGAGAGCTACAAGTCATCACACACAAATTGCGGAGAACAATATGCATGGAACAGGTTTACAAGCACGTGACATTGCAATCCTGCAATGCAATATTGTCATATAGAAATAAACTTACAAATGAAATTGTATTATATTGGACCACACGACGTCATGGTGCAAGTTCTTCTCTAATTTGTAAAATCAACAAACATTGATATGATCTTGATCAGCATTCGCAGCTAAAGATTGCAAACTCAACAAACATTGATAATGTCAACCCATTTGGTGGCTAGATGAACAAATTAAGATAAATATTTTACATGCAGCACTGATAAAATGTTCAAATTAATGGGCCACATTTATCTAAATCAAGTGTTCAAATAACACCGGCTAGCTACTGGATCAATTAAACTAAACGAAACCCTAGCTAATAAGCTAAAACACTAAAATCCGGAGAAAGTAGTAGAGTTTTACTCAACAAAGTCAGCTGCAGGCACAGTGATCCAGAAGAAGAATGCCCCGTAACTGATAAAATCCTACTACCACATGGTAGCTAGCTTGCTAGCAACCAAGTCACGATGTTGTCCTAAATTATGATAAATACAAAACATCAGAAGAGATCAAACGACGACGTCGATGATGACGACGATGTACTTGTTGAGGGTTGTTGTTCATGTTCATTGTTTGGTTTTGGGGGTTTGTTTTGTTTCGAGCTTAAGTTATAAGCACATAAGCTTAAGAGCTTAGCTAGGGTTTCTTACCCAGAGTGTGTTTGTTGTTATGCATCCAAACCTTGAGCACGTGGCGCTTCACCCCGGTCTCGTTACAGAACTGCTGAACTGCCGGTTCGTCCTGCTTCTGAATCCTCCACCCGAGCCGCTCCGCCAAGCTCAACATCCTCTCCTTCTGCTCCTGACTAAACTTTGTCCGAAACCTCTTCTTCCCAGATGACGCCGTTCCCATTCCCATTCCCAAACCCCCACTCCCTCCGCCACCGCCACCGCCTCCGCTGGGATTTGACACGTCGTCATCCTGCTCCTGCCCCCCGCTGTAGGTCCCTCCCCCTCCCGAAGTAGACGGCAAAGCCAGCGGCCTGTGGTGCGCCGCCACGTGGAGGTAACCAGCTGGAGTCCGGTAGTACGGTGAGAACTGCGGGTGGTGTTGCTGCCCGTGGTGTGGCACCAGCTGCCCGTATGCGTCGGTTATGACTCCGAGACCGTGTCCGGCCGGGTCGCCCTCCTTTCGGTGGAAGTTCCGATGGCAGTTGCAGGCGGCGCACTTGAGCGCGTCGAGGGTGCCGTCCGGGCCGGCAGCCAGGAACTCGCAGCACCCGTCCAGCGCGTGGCCTCCAATCCCCACCGCGTGGTTCTTCAAGCACTCCCGGTACCTCACAGCCTTCCTCGGTTGCTGCTGCTGCTCAGACGCCGCCGCCGCTGCAGCTGCCGCTGCTAGCGCCAAACCATCTGGTCCAGAACTCGACATTTTGACTCGGCCTCCGGCTGAGTTGCCGAGCGAGTCGTAACTAGCCGCCATCTCCATCTCCTCCTCGTGCTCCTCTTGATCCTCAAACTCCATCTCAATTAATTAATATATATTGATTAAAATTAGAGAAAAACGGAAAAACCCCACCAATTAATGAAAGAGAATCAACCCAGAAAGAAGAAGATAAAGAGGGGGCTGAGTGAGTTTAGAGAGAGAGAGAGAGAGAGAGAGAGAGAGAGAGAGAGAGAGAGTGAGAGTGTGTGTGTGTCAGGTGTAAATTTTTGTATAAACTCAGTCCCTCACTACCTCTCCCTGGAAACAAAATAGCTTGTCTCCCTGAAAGCCCTTGATATACTTTCCCATTTCCTACTCCCAACCGACTACTCCCGGTTGAACCGGTCACTCTCACCTTTCACCCTCCGTTTTTACACCGCGCGGTAAGTTTCAGAGAGCTGTGGGGGAGTGTCAGACAGACCACCGCTGCCCGTACGCGTCGTTTATACTCTGGAAATAAAAACAAGAGAATTATTTAATTGTATATTTATTTCCTTCGTTCAAAAGTGTCCCACGCGCTGAAGCCGGGATGGTGGTGCTGGGCATATTCCAGCAGAAAGAGAGGTGGAGGCGCGTGGGGTGTCGCATACGGGGGAGAGAGGGTGGGGGATTGTCGACATTTATGGCAGCTGGGCTACGTGCGCTCGTTTCCGACATGCGTGACGCGCTTATTGGCGTCAAAATTTTGCATTTTATATTGGATTTTTTTCATGTGTTTCTGTCTGAGAAAAGAGAGCAAAATATTGGGAGGGTGTTTTTGTAACAAAAAACACTACACTAGAATACTACTCTTCGTCTTTGGTTTGGTGTGTTGAACTTGTACCCTTTTGGTTCCACAAGACCTGTCACCAACCAATTTCTAAAGGGAAATAATGTTTGTCTTAGAAAAGGAGGGGCATTCTTTTTATCTCATATTTTCCCCTTCCCATCCCAATGCATAAGTTTTTACACACACACGGCCTAATTGGTAAGCTTCTGTTTTTTTTTTTTTTTTTTTTTTGGGTCAAACAAACTTTCATTAAAAACAAGGCCAAAAGCACCAAACCACGAAAACACAAAAAAGGCAGGCAGGCCACACAAACAACCGAGGCCCCCAAAAGACAAACAAACATAAGACACTACAATGAAATAGAAAATAAAAGGGGAAAGGCGACAACGACTATGAAGACAAAAGGGGGGGGGTGGGGGTGGAGCAAGGCAGCCCATCACTAGACAGCATGAATATTAGAGAAGATGGGGGTCTTTTGACCCAATTTTTCAGGCACGTCTTCTTCACAGTTAGTGAGGTGACCAGGTTGACCATATAGTTAGCTTGTCGTGCAGCCCGCACCCATTTGTGGTGCTGGAGGAGACTCTTCAGTCGAATTAGGCTAACTGCAGGGAAAATACACCTATGGTGGTGACTTCAATCTAGTGTTGATACAGTCGATTACCTCCTTAGAATCAGACTAAAAAAATAACTTTCACGTAGTCTTGTTGAACTGTAAAATTGAGAGCATGTACCACAGCTTGAGCATGGATCTAATCTAAGCGAAAGATTTGTAGGAAGCTCACACATAAGAAACTTTTGATTGGAACGCTGCTGACAACCTGCTCCTCGAAAGCATGGATCTCATCTAACTCGTGATACAACAAACCAAGGAATAATGAGGTTAATGGAACTACGTGACCCCGCATAATCACAAGAGTCAAAGGAATCATGCATCTATGTCCTTACAAACATATCATAGCTTCGAACCTGCAGTTTGATTCCTAGAATTTATACCATAAATGTTTAATCCATTTGTTGAAATGAATGGCCTTACTTGGGGAAGGAGGGGCTTTATTCTGCAGCACTTTGAATATCTTAGCATCAGCGACAGGTATAGCAGAAGGGATCTATGCTCCCCGAGATAGGAAAATGCATAATGTTGGCCACGTCCTCCAAGGTAGGGGTGAATTCGCCTAAGCACAGACGAAGGTGTGGGCTTCTATGTTCCAGGGTCTAACCACATGCCTGAAGAAGTCTAGTTCCACACGGATTACCTACTTCGTTGTCAAGAAGGTAGAGTCCAATACCTTTTTCCTCTTCAAGACCTCACACTAATTCGAGAATCCAAGCTCGACGTCTACCCACTCAGCCCAGCCGGTAGCTTCACCGCACGAGAAGTCGAAATGAATACGGATCGCAAGAAGCATCACACTCTCTATCTAGCAGCATGAAATACATCTAGGATTGATAAGAGGCGCCAACTCCAAGGAAGACTCATCCTCCTTAAAGCTTTATTTTGAGGACCAAGGGGAGGAGGTGGCTCTACTGTAGTCAAGCACTTTGAGGATTCCAAAGTCATGGTTCGCCTATAGGACACAAACGTCAAACTATTAAATGCTGCAATCCACCAAGCCATGTAAGATAAGGCACTTAAACATATGGAAGAGAAGCACAACAGGGCAAAAGGTGAGACTCTAGCCTAGGAAGACAAGCAAATATGCCTAGAGGAAAGCATAATCTTTAGAAACTCAAACATACACATGCAAAAGCCTAAGACTTTAACATAGGACTAGCCTCCCAACATGCTATCACACAGAATGTGCCCATGCCATGCCAACCAGCCACAAAATATAGAAAATCTAGCCGAGAAAAGCATGTTATATGAAGATCTAAGCCAAACAATACAATCAATTAATCATGTTTGATTATACACCAACAAGTAATCAAGCGGGGCTAAGTGATAATTGCACAATATGCATGACAAACAAGAAGAAGTCTACAAAGGCAAGCATGCAAAGTTTCAAAATTGAAAACTGCTAAGGAATATGAATTATATTTCGTGCGGAAAAATCATACCCCTCACCTACAAAACCCTAAAGTGTTCCAAGTGTGCAAGGAGAAAATGGGCAGGAATGCGTTCAAAATCCACCACGAAAGCCTTCAAGAAAATACGAAAAGAAAAAGGTAAAATTTTTCCTCACCTGAAAAGAGCTCGGCACAAAAGATGGCAAAACACAAGCAAAGCACACAAGAAGTCCAGAACGTAGAGGATGCTGAGCAATACAGGAAGAAAGATGAAGCATAGAGGAATTTGAAAAGAAGAAGAAAAAAAAAAAAAAGGAGTTGGATAAGAAAAGAAGAAGGAATGACAAATTAAATGCCTGTCTTAGAGAGATGGGAAGTTTAAAATGATTACCATAAAAAGGTAAGCGAATACCCAGCCTTTCCTTTAGATGATGAGACATGCACGGGAAACAAGGGCGCACATTGTCATGACACCATTTGTAGCAACGCGGGAAAGGGAAAAGTCCCATTAGAAAGACTATCTTTAAAATATTCATTTGGGCCTGGGTTTGATTGCTTAGGCTATTCAAGATTTTTCATAGCCCAAACAATCAAGGGGATAATGTTGAGGCCCAAAAATGTCATGAGCAAGGCCAATTGCCATGAGAGCCCCAAGTCAAACCGAAACACATGCAAATGTGCGGGATCAAGGAAGGATTATATTCACGACCATGCCATGCTATGGTAATTAGGTCAGACATTTATATAAATCATGTCATGCCTATACCTATTTGTCACGCTAAAATAAGCCCAAGTCACATGCTCAAGGCTTGTCAAGTGCATTGTAGCGTGCATGGTTACGGGAGTTTATGGGGCCATGTGGAGTCAAGATTATAAAGAACTTTAGGATGCTTGGGGGGGGGGGGGCAAAAATCAAAGCCCATAACCTTTGTAGCCCACATAGGCAAGCATTAAGAGAGAACATGCTTAGTTTACCCATTTTCTTAGCAAGCTAACCAATCCAATCAGAAAAGAACCAATTCCTAACACTAGGCTCATGTGAAACCCCCAGCAAAGCAGACATTTAATGAAGAAAGAGGCTAACTTTACCTTCCCAACTCATAAAAAGTTCAACACGCGAAAGCCATGAGACGTGCTACCAAAAGTAACGCTTGTGGAAAGTTGACCTAGAAAACAGTGCCTTGGGAAGGAGACATGATGTAGATTTCATGGGTTGGCAACACCTAGCCATCTTGCACCCAAATAGAGGGTAGCATAAGAACTAGGGAGAAAAGGGAGAAAGAAATAAGCCATAACTAAAGATTCCTTGGGAATGAATCATTCAACTACAAATATAGGTCAATAACTTTAGAGAGTGATCCCAATCCCCCAGCATAACATAGACAACCAAAGAAACCTAGGAGGCATTACTCTACAACCTTAGTATTTCCCATGACCTCCCTTTGAGTATTCGAGCCATCGTAAGCCTTGTTACCACCCTAGGGAATCCAGATTATTCAATAGAGAACACCATACAACCACTCAATCTTTCTCTCTTTCATGCAAAAACTGATGAACTTCTTAGTATTCATAGAACGCTTCTCTTAATCAAGCCATTATTTGTTTAATCATGCTAATCTTCGAGTCATTGATCTAACCGGAATATTTCCTAAGGCAAGCTAACTCTTTCCAGATATTCAAGACTTGGTACGAAATCGAACCAAGGGAGATAAGAGGACATTCTCCAAGCCGAAGTCCACCTTGACCTAAAAATCCCCTAACATCGTTTTTGGTGAAAATGTTTTGGAACCAATCATTTAGTCAAATGTCAAATGAATTATGAAAAATCACTTTTTTCACTTCATGCAAAATGCACATGTAATAAGTCCAATTTTTTGAACTACTATTAAGAACAGTCCACTTTTTATTTCTTTTTTTTTTTTTTAACAATAGTCCACTTTTTAAAATAAGTCGAATGATTAGGAATTCCTTATTGATACTAACATGTCAAATTTACCCCTAAAATGACTATTAAAGTAATCAATTCCTAAAATTTTGGCTGATTTATTTGTATTGAATTTGTGATTAATAAGGACTTTTTTACGTTTTAATAAAAAGGATAATATTAGGGAGATTAAATTTTTAAACCAAATTTATAAGCTAAATGATGTGTCATCAATAACAAATAATTACCTTAACCGACACTTGATTAATAATCCAATCATCAACAATCACATTATTTGGTTTACACAATTTAATTTAAAATTTTGGTATTCCTTGTTAACCTTGTAGATGAAGTTCTATAACATTCCTGAGAGAAGAATTCGAGAGCTTTGACAGAGAAAGAAGAGAGAGAAGTAAAACTGTATCAAAATGTATTTCTTCTTATTTTTCTTAATGTGTAAGCAACTGTACTTGAGTATTTATACAACAAACACAACAGACTACAAAACTAACAACTACTCTTAATCCTTTGACACTTGTCATCATCTAACCTATTTACTTAATATGTCTAA